AGGGATAGTTAGTCAACATGTTAATGTTGAACAGCATCACGAGCACAGTACTGGGTTGCCTTCTGGTTTCCCGCAATTCTTTAACAGCACTGTTACTGTTAACAATTTCTTTGGCAGCCATAACTGAGAGTGCAGTGCAGATACAGTGACAACCGGGACACGTTAGGACGGTTCTCAATTCAGGGTGGGGAGGTTTAATAAATTAAAGATTCACACATTCAAAATAAGTGAAAGAGTGATATCTAATCAATTTTGTTGAGAAAATAATAATTGTTCATTTTTTTGGTAACTTTTTCTGAAACCTACGAACAGATAATTATTATTATTGAAACAACCGACAATGAAAGTGACATATAACATAATAAAATGTGTTTGAAGACATTTTATTCATGACAACATGATGTTTACAAACCTTTTTCTGATCGATATCCATTGCCATCTCCGTCAACCACCACCGTTAGAATTTGGCAGGAGGGGATTTGAAAGTGCATCAGAAAACACTCCCTTCGAAAGTCCACGAAAACAATGTCCCAACTGAAGTGACAGCTTATCAAACTTGAAGAAATTCATTTCAGAACACGCGCAATTATGAAAATCATACACGACCTACTATTTCTGGACCAGAAATGTCTAAGTTCCGTCACTATTTGGCTTTGGATCCGTGAAATCTTGAAATTGACAGGTCACACCATGCAGATTCCTCGTTTCAAAATATCCGGCTCGTCTGCAGCCTAAACAGCTGCTGTTCAGTCATACTCATGAGTGAGTGAGTTAAAGTTTAACATCACATCGGCAATAATTCAGCCATATCGTGAGGAAACAAAATTTGATATGAACAATATATATTAAACTGTATCAAATTCTGCCGACAAAGAGCAGTATAATGACTAGAACATCACAGACTTTCGTAAAACTAGTTTGAGAATAAGTAAAAATAGATAACTAACTAATATAATCATTTAACAACACATTATACAAACAGGCTACCAACTGAAGGTTGATCACCTCGCTGGGGACCATGGGGACTTTCAGTACTTATGCTACCTGTATGGACCCCAGTCGGATTTACATCATCCCTTCAGTTGTTTGCGATGGCTGACAAATTTAGCCAAACATTAAAATAACACATATACTACTATTAAAAACGTGGAAGAAATAAATATACTTTGAAAGACGTGGTCTTACTCAGTCATACTCAGTTCCATTAGTAATCACATGGATGTGCCTGCAGGCTCGATCAATCCCAGTAAATCTACAGGTAAATGTTGATCCACATCATAGATCGGGGTTGTCATCTTGCTTCTTTTAACTAGATCTAGTTAATGTAAACACATGATTGTCAGCCATTGACAGCTGTGAGGTGTGAGTAACCGTGATGTAGGTCAAGTTCTCCCACATCCAAGTTCAGGGTGGAGAGGCATTTACTTTGATTTTATTATTGTTTACTGGGGGCAACTGCTATCTAACTAATAACTCTTAGACATGTTCAAATGTATATTAGAATGTTAATTCATAAAGTTTGCTGTAGAAATATATTCGTTTAGCATTTTAAAACCTTTTTCTATTAACCGTCACCCCTACAATAGAAATGTTGGCATGTTCGATTTCCAAGAAATGACCTCTCGCACAAATTTCCGAGAAACGACGGCCAGTCAACAGTGTTCAACAGTGTGCCACAGTTTGATAGAAATTAAAACATCTCTCTCTTTGGATTAAGTTAGGAGTTATATTTGTCAACTTCTTTTGAAAAACTAGATCTATGTGTTTTGAACACTTATTATGAACTACTCAAGACTATGGTGTTTTTTAATCTTCAACTTTTGTAATAATTGCTACATATATAAATACCTGTGACTTTTCAGAATATTCTAAGATTGCGGATTGTGTTATCACGCGTTGCAAAAGAGCGCCGTTTTCAAAGCGTTGTTGCCGTCATGGTAGAATGATGATAAACCTACTGTGTTTTGAAATTTGATGTAGTCCCACTGTAGAATAGATACCTCTTTATTATAATTTGGAACCTCACGCTAAAGCGCTCGATTCAAAATTATAATATCGAGGTATCTATTCTACAGTGGGACCACATCAAATTTCAAAACACAGTAGGTTTATCTCCGCCGTCATATAGCTAGAATATTGCTGAGTGCGGCGTTAAACAACAAACCAACAACCAACCTAATTAAAGAGTTTTCGTTTTCTTTTAAGTTGCTGTAAAGCTTCCCAACCAGTTTTGAAATATAGTGAGGCTCGGCATGCATGTGTATTTTGGTAGCCCAGTAATTAATGTTTCTAGCTGCTTCCAACTGCAGTCTTTCTAGTCAATCACTCTGATCTATTGTACACCCTAAAACTCACATGCGTATACAAATTGGTGCCAAATCAAAATCTTATAAATTGTATTGAGAGTGTCTCGGTTTACTATAAAGAAAAGTAATCTTTATGAGTATATGATTTGTGAGTTTGTTTTAACAATCGTGTCTGCATGACAAGACCACTTGCTTGGTGATTCGAACGTAACGCCTACATGTCACCTGTATTAGTTTCTCTCACATCAAACTATAGTTTTATCATAATGTATATCTTCTTTTAGTGAGAATAAAAACAAACTGTTCCTGTTCAGATTATTTTGGAATCATTGCATTACATCTCGTAGACATAAAATTATGTGTCTTCAGGCATCATCATCATCATCATCATCATCATCATCATCATCATCATCATCATCGTTGACGTGGCCGGCATCATCATCATAAAAAAACATCTGTAGTCTGACATTGTTATGTTAATAATGATTATTGTAAATCGTGTTCTACCACATTAATGGAGGAGGCGTGGCTGGGTGGATATTTAATTACTGGGGGCTTATTCGTTTGTCTAGCAGTTGTACTGTTGACCATCAGACACAGTAAGTCGAGCGCCAAACTCTGTCGTGCTCCTGACAAGACACGTCACGGTGACGTCATATATATAGCGCGCACCTTACCGGCCGTAGTGTCGCCAGTCAAGGCGTTTCATGGCTGGGAGTGAGATGTGTCGCTTGTCTTAGGACGTAATTGTTGGGTAAGTGTTTTTACCACCGTATTTTGTACTTTTAGAATCTTTAGGAACATAGATAGGGTTGTAAACAAAGCATGATTGATGGACAACGATATGCTTATTGTAGGTATCAGACAGCAGGTGCTTGCTTCACACTGAACTGTGACTGATCTATTTCTGCAAGCCAAACTATTCATTAGCTTGAACTGACACCGGGGCTACACACATGTAAAGATTTCCACAAGCCACACACAACCCATTAATTTTCAGGCATGTTTAATCTAGATCTAGTAATAATTGTTTTCGAAATTTTCATTCAACTGATTTTTTTACAACTAAGACCTAATGTTTTGTTGATTCTGTTTTCGTGAATCAAAGAGTTATTGAAATACATATATAGATACTGTACACAGATGTATTTGTACATGTCGCTACACACTGCAGTTTCTTTGTGTTATTCAGGGTAGAAAATACATTCACAAGTTTATGTCTGCATACACACGTTTATGGATAATCTGTCCCGACATGTGTGTTATTAAATTCAGTTGTAAGTAGGCCTAGAGCGCTCCATGTTAACTAGATTCACCAGTCAATAGGCCAATGTCGTCTATTCACGAAAGCCCACACAGTAGGGCCCAACACACGAGGTGGGTGGAGACAATGTCACATGTATTGTAGTGGGCAAACCACCCTCCAGACACACACACAACTGTGTTAGAACTGTAAGACCTGACACACGAGGTGGGTGGAGACAATGTCACATGTGTTGTAGTGGGCAAACCACCCTCCAGACATACACACAACTGTGTTAGAACTGTAAGACCTGATACACGAGGTGGGTGGAGACAATGTCACCTGTATTGTAGTGGGAACACCACCCTCCAGACATACACACAACTGTGTTAGAACTGTAAGACCTGATACACGAGGTGGGTGGAGACAATGTCACATGTATTGTAGTGGGAACACCACCCTCCAGACATACACACAACTGTGTTAGAACTGAAAGACTTGACACACGAGGTGGGTGGAGACAATGTCACATGTATTGTAGTGGGCAAACCACCCTCCAGACATACACACAACTGTGTTAGAACTGTAAGACCTGATACACGAGGTGGGTGGAGACAATATCACATGTATTGTAGTGGGCAAACCACCCTCCAGACATACACATAACTGTGTTAGAGCTGTAAGACCTGACACACGAGGTGGGTGGAGACAATGTCACATGTGTTGTAGTGGGCAAACCACCCTCCAGACATACACACAACTGTGTTAGAACTGTAAGACCTGATACACGAGGTGGGTGGAGACAATGTCACCTGTATTGTAGTGGGAACACCACCCTCCAGACATACACACAACTGTGTTAGAACTGTAAGACCTGATACACGAGGTGGGTGGAGACAATGTCACATGTATTGTAGTGGGAACACCACCCTCCAGACATACACACAACTGTGTTAGAACTGAAAGACTTGACACACGAGGTGGGTGGAGACAATGTCACATGTATTGTAGTGGGCAAACCACCCTCCAGACATACACACAACTGTGTTAGAACTGTAAGACCTGATACACGAGGTGGGTGGAGACAATATCACATGTATTGTAGTGGGCAAACCACCCTCCAGACATACACATAACTGTGTTAGAGCTGTAAGACCTGACACACGAGGTGGGTGGAGACAATGTCACATGTATTGTAGTGGGCAAACCACCCTCCAGACATACACACAACTGTGTTAGAACTGTGAGATGTTACAGAAACATTCTAACCATGTAAATACCTAAAGCATACCAGCTGTTGCCACTCCCTCTACAGTCGCCATGTTGTTGTCAGCCATCTTGCATGTCTAGATAATACATCAAGTGTTTTATACCCTCACTGTAAGATGTGAACACTGTAGCTGTGAGATAAAGATGTCGGACATGTGTTCAGAGTTTACTTTGTGTTACAGCGACACCGACTCCCGCAGATAGAGACCCCGAGGCAGACCGCGACCTCCTTGAAGCCAGCAGGGAGGGGAACATGGCGGCCGTGAAGCGGATCCTGGCAGCAGGTCGGGCTGACGTCAACAGTAGAGGCGTTGTCGGGCTGACACCGGTGATGTCGACAGCACACGGGGGACACAGAGACGTAGTGGAGCTCCTGGTGAGTGAAGGGGCTGATGTGTCACTGGTGGACGAGGACGGTACCAACATCCTTCACTACGCCTGTTGGGGAGGAGATGTGGAGACGGTGAAGTTTGTGCTGTCTCTGAACGTGGTGGACATCAACTGTAGAGGACGGGGGAGCAGGACACCGGTGATGGCGGCAGCATTCAAGGGACACAGAGACGTGGTGGAGCTCCTGATGAGTGAAGGGGCCGATGTGTCACCGGTGGACGGGGACGGTAACAACATCCTTCACTACGCCTGTATAGGAGGAGATGTGGAGACGGTGAAGTTTGTGCTGTCTCTGAACGTGGTGGACATCGACGCCCGGAACAACCTCGGCCTGACAGCGGCCGACGTGGCGAGACGCGAGGGACATAAGAAAAATGTGAAACTTTTGAAGCCGCCACGCTGTCACGTGATGTAAATAGGAGAAAATGTTGGATCGCGGCGGTCACCTGAAGTGAGTGTCGTGTTTGTGTGGACGGTGAAGGAGGACATGTTGTTACACACAATGACGTGTTGTGCCGTTCACGTCGTCGTGCTTTATATTTCAGGATTAGGTGAGAATGTTTGTTTTGTTTGATGATAAATAAAACTTGCTGAAAACATTTTCAGACATTTTGTCATTTTTTGTGTTTGGAACTTCGCATGATCAGGTAAGAAAATTGTTAACAGAGTGTAAATATATATGCTGTGTGATTAGTATGTAAACTCCTCATCTCGTGATATTAATCTGTGTTAATTGTGAGTAAATAGTTTATAATTAATCATGAAACAAACACAACAAACTGTTTGTTTACATCTCGCTGCACTCTGTGACCTCAGACTGAGCCGAGGTTCGCCCAGCTGACGTGGCGCCAAATGTACAATGACAGTGACGTCACACTGTCGATGACGTCACGGCCTTACGGCACTGCTTTAGCCTCACCTCGCCCGTTTCTAATATCTCACTCCGGCGCAGTGGTGACTCAGCATAACACTATGCTGGTCGCATGGAGCTCTGGGTAGGAGAGTGTTCTGATATGTGTTAGAATGGGCGATCTTTTTACAACTGAATATGTTTAAGTAGCACATTTTTTGTAGTGATTATTATTTTATAATATCAACATTTGTTGAGTCTTCTACTAAAAGACGAATTGTCACGATTAAAGATAGCGGGAAAAACGTCATGAAAAACAGTATATTGCCATGGTATTTTCTACGTCAGAAAACAGCGAGGCATTCTGTCAGTCTGGGCTAACATATTGCATCGATGAAATAATGCAAACTCATTTTATTTATCAGGCTTTGTGTTATTTTCCCACTACAATTCCGATTCAAATCTCAACAAATACTACCATGGTCTCAATGTAATACAATTGGAGATACGCCTAAATGTGCAGCACACAGACATCTGTGACAGGCCTTTACCACTGATCTCTATAGTTAGTATACATCCGTGCCTCTACAAATAGTTTGAGAAGAAATAACGTTCAAAATAATAAAACAACTGATTTTAACCCTCTTGGTGCAACGGGACCATACATGGTCCCTCACTTTTCACACCCGCATAGTGCCAGGGGACCATATATGGTCCCGAGAAAATGCCCTTTTTAAACTGTGAAGTTTGATACTTAATACTGAGTGCGCAAAGTCAAAACTATAACCATCATCACCCCAATCATCTTAGCTTTAACATCGTGTAACTCATACTTTAAACAATGCTACGGATTGCGAAATATGGCGAGATTAGTAAAGTGGCTACCGCTCTTCTCGGCCTTTTTCTGCCATGTTTGAACACCAAGCGAATGACGGCGAATTTTGATTATGCACCCATGTCGCATACACGTAAATATTTTCAGACAAAATCCTTGTTCATAAGAATAAATATGACCTGAGTGGTCAGAAAGACATATTTTTCCCAACTATATACTTATTTACGTAAATACAATTCTGTTCACTCCTTTACGAACAAGTTTATTTACACGTTTTGTATATTTTTATCGACTATCGGTAATGGCGGAATGGTCGGTACACATGAGAAAACGACAGTGTATATTTCCATTACATTTATGACGTACATTGAATGAATTTATAACCATTATCACCCTAATCATCTCAACGTTAATATCGTGTAACTCATATTTTATGCAGTGCTACGGATTGCGAAATATAGCGAGATTAGTTATGTGGTTACCGCGCTTCTCGATCTTTTTCTGCAATGTTGAACTTCATGCGAATGAAGGCATTTTTTTGTTATGCACTCGTGTCACATACACGTAACTATTATTATATCAGACAGCCAATTTGAAAAAGAAATCTGATCGGACTGGTCAGAAAGATTTACTAGTCCCCACTGTACAGTTATTTGCGTAAGAGTACTAACGTTTAGTCGGCCACGGAAGTTTTTTGTTCAAGTATTGCATATGTTTATCGACTGTGTGTCATGGCGATTTAGCACGGCGCTACATACCAACCGACTGTGCAGATTGTCTTTTTGTTTATGATGCTGATTTACAGAAAATATTCAAATAAGAAATGTGGTAAGATAGCTGTAATCGTTAATATTAAGTTGGTATAGTGTTTATTTATGGGCAGGAGATTCATGATCGAAACCTAAACATTGAATGGCCAAGCCCGAAGTGATCGACAGGGCACGTTTGCATCATATCTGTGCCGCGATTTCTTGTTTACCGGTTGTCCTACATAATCGCCCGTTCAGACAAATAACTGCTACTTTTTTCATATGAAATGACTAAAAGTCATGTGTGATTGCTCAAACTACCTGACCGTGTGAGTGACTTGCCCTAACTGTTTCACATTTTGTCGCAAATAGAGATTTCAAAAGTGTGGCCACGACATCTAACGTGAGTCGACGCCATATTGTAAACAAATTGTGTCAAGGTCGGTTCCACATGTGGTAGCTCGGCCCCCGTTTCTGTCGATGGTACACGCGATACAAACATAATGCAACACTGCAAAAAAAATCCATATATACAAGCTTGTATATCCTTTGGAAAGATGATATTTCCAAAGGATATACAAGATTGGAAAGATGATATATACAAAATATACAAGTTTGTATATATGACATATACAAAATATACAAATTTGTATATATGGTGTATCCAAATTTGTTTTGTTTGTATATATTGGTAAAGGGAGATAATTATTATGTATTTGTGTATAATTATGATATATGTGCAAATTGAAGTGTTTTAAGTTGAGCACTGTGTTTCTTTGTATATGTTGGTAAAGGAGGATAATTGCTATGTATTGCTCTATAAATGTTTTGTATGTGCAAAATAGTATCAGCAAGTTACAAAAAACTGATTTAGTGGCGGGTAACATTACTGGAAGGTTTAATTAGTACTCCACACTGTTAGCGGGAGTACATACTGTCCTTGCAATGATATTGACGGGTGGGCGGTTGAGGCGTCTGGTACTTTTCCTGGCGCGGTGCTTGGTATGTGAGTAGACTTTATGGTCAAATGCACAGAGGGGATTAGCTGTCGGGGGCGATTGCTTTGGCGGTAACTTCTGTATTGAAAGTGTTTGAGCTTGGATTTGTTTTACGGGGAGGCCGCGATGTGTTTTGTAACATGCTCTCGTGCACATATGCCAACAGAGTGGATTGCACAGAGGATGAAAACTATTTTATCACTACTTAAAAGTGTTGAATTTGGTTTGTTCTGAGCTGTCGGTTTCATTGTAGATATACATTGTTATAATGTGAAATCTCGGCGGAAACGCGGAAAATCGCGTTTTGTAAAACGGTAGTCCTTGGGGAAAATTGTATTATGAGCAACCGGATGCGTAAATAACGTGTGTAATATATTCCCGTATTATATTTTATAATACTTGTTCTTTAAATATTGTTATCAATGCGAGAACGAAGATTACCTTGAAAAAACACAACAGCATGCATATGTTCTAGCAAAAGGAAACTTGATATATATTCATTTGGCTTAATTTCTACTTTGGAAAACTAAAAGCTTGACGCTGTATAATTTGGCACGCGCATGGTTGGGTGCAAACCATATGTACATCAATAATAATAGTAAAAATAATAATAATAATAATAATAATAATAATACATCATGATGGCAGTTTCAATGTAAAGATTAAGTATTTTTAAAGATATGGAAAATAAATCTTGATAACTGCTTTAATCTTTGATCTTTGGGAAAATAATAATGGAATTGGTTGAGTGACTAACGTATTCTACTTTATAAGTGACAGGAACGTGATTTACATAATTAAAATATAGAATAATATACAAATTATAAGAGAGGGTTTGTGATTTATTTTGGGATGAAGTCAGTATTTAACTTGCGCTTTCCGACATTATGCGTATTTCGCACACGGTTAAGAAAAAAAATGCAATTCATTTATTTATAAAAAGTACGAATGCATCAATCCTACATCACAGGACCATGTACATCATTTGTTGAATGTTATTTCGTGAATACACAAATTGCATAACACATTCCCTGAGGACAAACCCAAATTGCCCGTCCCTTTGTGACAGGTGTTAATTAGAGAATGTATTGCCACCATATTATGTCCCAGCACTTTTATGACATGTAATGAACCTAGTCAATCCCTGGGTCTGTAACAACAACATGGGTCTAATAAAATCAAAGTAACATAAATGTTACGTCATTCGAATTAAAAAAGAGACTGAAAAAATGTAACATGAATATAATTGCCCTTTTGAGGGTAATATAATTTTGGGAAAATATACGTTTTCTTGTATTTATGGACGACTTCACACAAGCTGAAAAATTAAACATATATGTTTATATAGCTATATTTACATACATGGCATTAACATGTAATAATAATATTGATCATGTTTGTTAATTTGTACATTTCGTTGTTATTGGTATCCTGAGTATGTTGTAATAATGCATGTGTTCTGATCTTATTTGACGTAGATTACATGAACTAGTAGAGTGACTTTCTTTCATCAGCGTGGAAGGATTACCCACACATATACCCTTAATCCTTTGTCAAACAGAAAGAAGTCATATAGATATCATATCTAACTGGTACTAAAAGTTCACTATCAATCTCCTCTGATAACAAACTTACATTTAATATCCCCAAGCTACAATACCAAGCATGCTCATGGAGTAATTATGAGAAACCCGAATGATATCCTGTCTACGTGGTCACACCCGGTGATTGTTAAGACATTCAGACAATATGGCAGTCTGTATTCATTTCTTATATCCCAAAAGTCACCACCAAGCTTCCTTTTATTAACATTGGGATGAGGGGAGATATACATATTGTATTAAATAATACATCAATACATCAAAACAGAACAAAAAAGATAGGTCAACAGTGCGGTTGATGGAAAGGGGTTTCCTAAGAAAAGTTATTTAACTCTTTAATACTTAATACGTGTCTCAAAGTATGTATTAAGTCTTACTACTAGTTATTATATATGTGCAAATCCACCCGAACGTCGGATGTACATGGCCGATTTCAAAATAGCTAAATTAGGCACTGTTCAAATTGTTTCCAATAAACCACTGATTAGAAACTCACTTAACCTTTAGAATAGAATCGTTTCTAAATATATTGTTGTTGGGGCATGTGTAAAAATTAATGCAGTGTACC